ACCGAACGGCCCCTCGTTCGGTAGATAGAAAATACCGAACGAGGGGATTCAGGCGAACCCTTCCTAGCCTCTATAGCTAGAGGTTTTCGTGTATTTTATTCCCTTATGCCAGGACCGACCGCAGGGCCCATTCACATGGAACCGGATTCGGCTATCTCAGTTCGTGCGGTCGGTCATTTTATTCCCTCCATATTTTTCCCGAACCCCTGGTCTGATCTGGGTGATTTTTGGATATGTTGTTCACCCAGATCAGGGGTATCCGGGGATGTAGGATTTAAAGTGGTACCCCTACGTTTAGGGGTACATCCAGAAACGGGGGGAATTGGTGTGCTGGATAAGGGGATTATGATGCTGGCTGAGGGGAGGAGAGGTGTGGGAGGTTACCAGGACAGGATTGGCTACTGTCATAATTACTGTAAATCCCTCCCTTGCATGGGAGCATGCTTTATAAGGAGACTGTGATTAAAGGCTTGTCAGTTCTGCTCCTGAAACTGTGTGTCGTCCAGTTATTGGGATTGCTGTGGGGATATTGCTGCTATTTTACCTGCTGGAAACTTTGCCTATGGATTTATTATTTACTTGTTCCTGAGCCTCACTTGGATTATAAGCGGAGATAACCTGGGGAATATTGCATCTCCGCTACAGTGTGACTTCCCTTGTATGATCCGGATTATTTTCTTCCCGTAGAGCTATCATCATAGGGAATTCCAATTATTGATAGGCACTCTTTTGTTTAGTAATGACAGAAAAAATAGAATGGCTTACCTATGTCTCTTAGAGTGTGACCTTTTTTCCGGGAGCAGAGGGATCTGAATCCATAACTGAATCCATAAATAAGATTTATTTTTATCCTTAACAAAGAAAATCTCTGCTAAACAAGTAGAGATTGACAGATACAGAAAAATAAGTAATATACCTTCAATAAAGAAAAACTTACCAAAACCAAAAAGAAAAATTCCAATTAAGATGAAAACTGCACACAAATCTAATTACTTAATATAGGAAAAAACCTATATGAAAACATTGTGCTGAAAAGGGGAAGCCAATATGATCATGCAACCATGACTTACATTTTAGAATACGCAGGAGCGAATCAGATTTTCACGCATGCGCGGTAATGGCATGGCGCGACCTTTAGACTAGCACCTGCGAATTCGCGGGGATTAAACACAGAGGAAAAAACCTGAATGGGCCCAAAAGTAAGAATGGAAACTTAGGGACTTCTAATAAAACAGGTCGAAAGGCTGATATAGAGGAACAGAACAGCGAAAAGCCTATTACCAAGTACAGAGACATAGAAATAGGATAATACAGGGAGTGCAGAATTATTAGGCAAGTTGTATTTTTGAGGATTAATTTTATTATTGAACAACAACCATGTTCTCAATGAACCCAAAAACTCATTAATATCAAAGCTGAATATTTTTGGAAGTAGTTTTTAGTTTGTTTTTAGTTATAGCTATGTTAGGGGGATATCTGTGTGTGCAGGTGACTATTACTGTGCATAATTATTAGGCAACTTAACAAAAAACAAATATATACCCATTTCAATTATTTATTATTACCAGTGAAACCAATATAACATCTCAACATTCACAAATATACATTTCTGACATTCAAAAACAAAACAAAAACAAATCAGTGACCAATATAGCCACCTTTCTTTGCAAGGACACTCAAAAGCCTGCCATCCATGGATTCTGTCAGTGTTTTGATCTGTTCACCATCAACATTGCGTGCAGCAGCAACCACAGCCTCCCAGACACTGTTCAGAGAGGTGTACTGTTTTCCCTCCTTGTAAATCTCACATTTGATGATGGACCACAGGTTCTCAATGGGGTTCAGATCAGGTGAACAAGGAGGCCATGTCATTAGATTTTTCTTCTTTTATACCCTTTCTTGCCAGCCACGCTGTGGAGTACTTGGACGCGTGTGATGGAGCATTGTCCTGCATGAAAATCATGTTTTTCTTGAAGGATGCAGACTTCTTCCTGTACCACTGCTTGAAGAAGGTGTCTTCCAGGAACTGGCAGTAGGACTGGGAGTTGAGCTTGACTCCATCCTCAACCCGAAAAGGCCCCACAAGCTCATCTTTGATGATACCAGCCCAAACCAGTACTCCACCTCCACCTTGCTGGCGTCTGAGTCGGACTGGAGCTCTCTGCCCTTTACCAATCCAGCCACGGGCCCATCCATCTGGCCCATCAAGACTCACTCTCATTTCATCAGTCCATAAAACCTTAGAAAAAATCAGTCTTGAGATATTTCTTGGCCCAGTCTTGACGTTTCAGCTTGTGTGTCTTGTTCAGTGGTGGTCGTCTTTCAGCCTTTCTTACCTTGGCCATGTCTCTGAGTATTGCACACCTTGTGCTTTTGGGCACTCCAGTGATGTTGCAGCTCTGAAATATGGCCAAACTGGTGGCAAGTGGCATCGTGGCAGCTGCACGCTTGACTTTTCACAGTTCATGGGCAGTTATTTTGCGCCTTGGTTTTTCCACACGCTTCTTGCGACCCTGTTGACTATTTTGAATGAAACGCTTGATTGTTCGATGATCACGCTTCAGAAGCTTTGCAATTTTAAGAGTGCTGCATCCCTCTGCAAGATATCTCACTATTTTTGACTTTTCTGAGCCTGTCAAGTCCTTCTTTTGACCCATTTTGCCAAAGGAAAGGAAGTTGCCTAATAATTATGCACACCTGATATAGGGTGTTGATGTCATTAGACCACACCCCTTCTCATTACAGAGATGCACATCACCTAATATGCTTAATTGGTAGTAGGCTTTCGAGCCTATACAGCTTGGAGTAAGACAACATGCATAAAGAGGATGATGTGGTCAAAATACTCATTTGCCTAATAATTCTGCACTCCCTGTACATTTAGTGAAGGGTACAAGGTGTTATATCCATATATATGCTCTGTATGTGCCTGCCCAGCCTGCTACTCCTTGGTCACTGCAGGAAATAGGCCGATGACAAAATCTTGCTACCTCTAGGGTCACAGCAAGTAAATCCATGGGAAAGTACAAGATAGTGAGTTGTACTTTAACCCTTTCAACGATGGAATGCTAGTCCGTCTCACATGAACTCTTTCAGGGATAAAATGTTAGTTAATCTCATAGAATCTTTGCAATCTATTTGCTCTGTATATGCATGTCCGGCCTGCCACTCGTTGGTCACTGCAGGAAATAAGCTGATGACAAAATCTTGCTACCCCTGGGTTCACAGCAAGTAAATCCATGTCAAAGTACAAGATAGTGAGTTGTACTTTAACCCTTTCAGCGATGGAATGCTAGTCTGTCTCACATTAACTCTTTCAGCGATGGAATGTTAGTCAATATTAATCCTTGCAATCCATGTGCTCTGTATGTGCATGTCTGGCCTGCTACCCCTTGGTCATTGCAGGAGACAGGATGATGGCATAATCTTGCTACCCCTAGGGATAACGCAAGTATATCCATATGCTCTGTATGTGCATGCCCAGCCTCTTACCTCTTGGTCACTGCAGGAATCATGGAGATGGCATGATCTTGCTACCCCTAGGGTCACAGCAAGTTAGAGCCCGAGGTCACTAAAAGGGTCTCCTTTGCACAGGGCCGTGTACTGGAGACTCCCCAAGGGAGAGAGGCTGAACTCGCTTGACAGAGAAGGTAACAACCCTCAGGTAAGCCCCAAAAAATAAAAATTCTATAGTCCTAGAATGACTAAGTCTGCCTAGGGATAGGACATGAACAAAAAAAGACTGAGGGTGTGAGGGGGTTACTTATACCTTCTGTTTTAATTAGGTTCCTGTCTGGTTAGGGATAGGGAGGAGCTACCCATTGTTGTGCTGCCATGGATATGGCAAGGAAAATGGTATCTTTAGAAAGACCATTTAATGGCGAGAAAAAACGGTATACAATATGCACGGCTACAGTAAATGAGTAAGAGGAAAATTACAGCTAAACACAAACACTGCAGAAATGTAAAAAGAGCCCTGGTCCTTAACAGTAAGAAAATAGAAAAACGGTCTTGTCACTAAGGAGTTAATGAGAATTTATATATGTATACGTGACATCGAATTAAAGCTTTTTGTCCTCAAAAAAACAAAAAACAGTATATACAATGTGTTGGTGCAATAAATAAGAGATGCAAATTGAGGTTGAACACAAACTGCAAAAAATTGGTTGTGTCCTTAAAGGGAAACTCCAGTGCCAGGCAAACAGTCCCCCTGCCACCTCCCAATCCCCGGTTGCTGAAGGGGTGAAAACCCCGTTAAAATGACTTACCAGAGGCAGCGACATGTCCCACGTCGCTGCTTCTTCCTCTGCATTACGTCGGACGCTGGGCGAGACGGATCCCACCCACCGGCCAGGGAGACCTAATGCGCATGTGCAGCAATGCCGCGCATGCGCATTAGAGCTCCCCATAGGTAAGCATTAAAAATGCTTTCCTATGGGGAATTGAGCGACGCTGGAGGTCCTCACACAGCGTGGTGACGTTCTAGCACAGGTTTTCTGTGTTATAATCCAGGAAGTGCCCTCTAGTGGCTGTCTAGCAGACAGCCACTAGAGGTGGAGTTAACCCTGCAAGGTAATTATTGCAGTTTATAAAAAAAAAAAACATATATATATATATATATAAACTGCAATAATTACACTTTCAGGGTTAAGAGTAGTGGGAGTTGGCACCCAGACCACTCCAAAGGGCATAAGTGGTCTGGGTGCCTGGAGTGTCCCTTTAAGGATAAGACAAGCTGCTGAAGCAGTGTCCTTAAGGGGTTAAGCTGTGGTTCTGGTACTATAGTGTCCTTTTTCACAACACACTATACTTGTGAGCTGCATTTACATTTGATTCAAAGTGTTACTTAGATATTAGATATAAAAACATTGCTAATTAAAAAAAATAAAAAAATAAAATGAAAAGGAGTGTATATAAAGAAAAGAAAAGTGGAATTAAGCCCATATGCCTTATTTAAATACAAAAATCTAAATGTATTTTCACAATAAATATGCGCTTCACTTTATAATTATTTTTTTATTACGATTTTTTGGTGCATATAGGAATGATTTTTACATAGGTGTTTTTATAGCATCGCAACTTTTTTTCCCCCCTTACATTGATTTCTAACTCTGAAGGGTTCCTTTCTTAGTTTACATTCATGGGACCGACCCACACAGGGTCATAATATAGTAATGTGTCTCTAATCTGTCTGGTGGTGAGACTTTTCCTCCATTGAATGTTGATATTCTGGTTCAAATCAAATACTTCTCATATTGCAACATTGAGGTTCTATGGAGTGTGTGGCAATCCCCATAGTCTGCCAGTAGAATGCTTTTTATAGAGAAGCAGTGAATCCACTGATCGCCTCAGTTTTGGGTGAGCACACTTCATTCATCACACCTGAGAATACCAGATGACAGAGCAAGGCAAAGCTTTTATTTTATAGGCAATGTAAAAACTAAAAAAAAAAAAAAAAAATTGCATTGTAGTTGTGGTGCCTGCAATAGTCTATTAAAGTACCAAAAAGTAAGAAAGCTTGATAGGTCTTATAATAAATATGCAGACTCCATGTGAACAAGAACCCAACCCGGTGATTGCTTACCATACAGTAGTGGGCCAGTGATATTTTAGTGACATCCCATTAAACATGCACATCAAATACATCAGGACTCTTGCAATGTACAGCAAAATGTTTACATAGAGCAAAGTCTGTTAATAGATGGAGAACAGCATTCATTGACCGCTAAAATATATAATAGTAATAACAGACACAAAACATTTTAGTGAGAAAATAAGAGCAGTTCAAAAAGATTGTCTAGTCAACCCATCCTGTTTAAATATATACGGACAGCATTCACTTTCACCCACATTTTTTTGCACCTTTTGCATTAACAGCTTTTTATACCAATTCACAACTCATGTTCTAAACAAACCAATCCCCAATTGTCAACTTGATCAACCACATCACCAGAAGTAAACCATGAAATAAGTAACTTCAACAATTTAATCGATAACAAAAACATGAACACACTTATAGGAGACACAGGCAGAGAGTCATAAAGAAGGTCAGTGACAAATATAAAGAAAATGTCCAACAAGGATACAAAGATAAAAACAAGTTATAAAAAACTCTATTCAACGAAGGCTCGACTATATATTTCCCGAGACTATTTCTTTGTCTTCTAGAAACTCAAGAATTTGTGCAGCAGAAGGTCGTTCCTTTGGATCTTCACTAGTGCATACGAGAAACAACTCTATGACCTTTTGATAAGAATCATTAAGTTCCTCCATATTCAATGGAGGTCTGGTCCCCAGTGATTCATAATAGGCATCCTCATCAAAATCATCTTCATCAAATGAATCTGTACAAACATGAGAGATTCCATTAGACGTATATACATAATAGAGGGGAAGCAGGGGTAGTTCTCTAGCAGCTAGCGTAGGGGTAGGCAACCTTTGGCCCTCCAGATGTCCTGACACTTTTCCAGCATTATAGTTGTAAGAGCATTTAGGGAGATGTAGTCCACAAAATTTGAAGTGCCGAAGCTCACCTACCCCTGAGGGAGAATAAGGTTTACATAATAGTGAAGCTTGAAAGGCCCCCAATTTCACCATCTGTAAACTTTTCATGAGCAAAAGCATGATTTCATTTCATCTACCTCTGTCATTTCAAGATGACTGATTTAAATGGGATCATTAGAGGAAAAGGTATGCGGGTAGGTGAGGTTATTTGGAGTAATTTATTCATTTACATACTGGACATAATTAAATAGATAAAAAAAGTTTAATCTGTTCATATGTAGACGTGCACAACTTGGCAATAGGTAGGGACCAAAATTAAATAGGCTAAGCTTCTTCAGGCTGCAGACAGGTTTTAAGCACCTATCACACACACGGACATACAGATGCATACACAACACACTGACAGACATACAGATGCACAGGCCAAAATATAAACTTTTATAGCCACCCTCCAGTTTACCTTTCGGGTGCTGGAGGGTGGCTTCCCTTGTCTCCAGGCGGAGGATGATGGCTCTTCTAGCCTGCACCCCATCCTCTCCCGTCTTCTCTTTGCTCCCTCTGTGCAGCTCCAGTCTCTCCAGGCCTGGCCCCCTCCTCACAACCCCTCCTGCTCAGCTCCAGTCTCTAGGAGTAAGTAACTCTCAGCACTCACTTCCTCCCAGTCTGCCGATAAGCAAGAGGCCTGTCGTGCTGTTAAAGCACCACAGCACCCAGCCGTGCCCCTGCTGACACATGCCCATCAGGTGGCCCTAAGTGCATGGGCCACCTGATGGGACTCCTAATTGAACCCTCCCCGGCACAACGCAGTGGCTGCACTGGCGGTAGTTCCTCGCGGGTCACCTGAAATCCTTTGGCAGGCCGCAAGTTGTGCAGGTCTGCGTTACGGCATGCTATGCTTTCCTACAAAACAAGGAGTTTAATGCTGTTAAGACAGGCCCATCCCTTCAGACCACAATCAATCAGAGGACCTGCCTGACAACAGGCAGTCCCTCAGCAGCCAATCATGCCATCCAGCCATTCGGAGTCATGTGATTGGGATAATACCGCAAATCACATAACACTGATCGGTTGCAGGGGGACTGCCTTGGTTGTCAGGCAAATCTCCCAATATATAATTAACATCACAATATTTATATACAAAATCATATATTTTCCACCTAGACTGTAATTATATAAAATGTATTTCTAAGTGCATTTATATATTATTAATATAAAATGATATGATTTTATTAATTATATATTGGAGGACCAGCATGACAACCCAGGCTGAAATTTAATTTGAAAGCCCTATACTTAACCCTGCACCATTCCAAAACCTTATTAAACCTGTTCATAGGGGGTACTGTTTTAGAGGAATAAAATGTGTAATGAGGATGATACAAGTTAAAGTACATTTTTGTATAAAATATATAAAATAAATATGAACACTAACGTTGGCAAGGGTTTAGGACTACTAGAGAGACTGGATATTATGAATACCCTAAATGTCTACTTTTGCAAATGGAATGTCATAACGGGGATAGTTCCCATTTCTGGGCTACCATATGGTCTCAAACGCAAAATAGGCTTAGCAAACCAATCCGGCAAATTTCAACGTGTAAAAGCAAGCTCTTTAAGTAAACCTGTAACTTTTCAAACTATCATGAAACCTGTACATGGGTGGCACCATTGTACTCGTGGGATATCACAGCATGCAAATAAGTGTTTAATAAAAAATAAAAGCTAATAGTATTATGACATTCAGAACTTGGAAAATAACAAAATTCCTTAATTTTAATATTATTTAAATTTTATTCATATTAAATTAAGCGTCATGTATAAATATTTGATGTGACATGAAAGCCCTATTTCTCCTACATATAATATTTGTAGGTGCACTTAATATGAAAGATGTAAATTATGGTTGAACAACCATGTAGCTGAAATTCTTGGTTTTGGTTCAGAACTTGGACAATTTTCTCCATCCTTAAGGGGGATAAAACATGTTTCGGAACAGGTCAATACACATCATCTGAAGTGTGAAATGCACTCTATGTTTGAGGTGTTTCACACCAAGCCTTCACCTTCATCATCGCCCTCTGGTGGCAAGTTCACATGAGGTATTGACAGAGTCATCATTTCCCAAAGAGTTAGGCCATAAGCAAATATATCAGACTTGTCTGTTATAATCCCATCATCTTCTAAAGCTTCCCTTGGTTTCCAGGACTCTGTGCCAATATAATAGGCGTTAAGGTCACTCACTAAAAATACAGAAAGGAAAATTTAGGTAGGTAGAAAGCTTCACATAACTTAGAAGAAGGTACACTAACAGGGAGAATGTAATAGGAAGCTGGGTGTGCTACACTAACATCACTTACTGGTCATGTTTTCATCCAGGGGCAGAGACACTCCTACATCACAGATTTTAATGGACTCAAAGTCTCCATTAACAACAACATTTGATGACTTGATATCACCGTGAAGTATCTTTTTCTCATTATGTAGATACTAAAGGACAAAGAAAGGCAGGGAATGAGCAGAATATAATATCTTTAAAAAAGAGAAAGAGTTATGAATATGACAACTATGCACAATGAATAAAACTGAATAACACTTATACTAACAGAAGAAGATGAATAAAATAAAGTTAGAAAATGGTCCAAATACTGTAAATCAGAAGAGAGAAAAAAAAAGAAAAGAAAAATAAAGCATGTGTGTTTACGTGGAACTGATTTTGCATCCCATTAAATTATTCAATCTCTCCGCCCATCTATATCATCAAGGACTACCCTCACAAGCACAATGTCTTCATTTTTATCTGAGCATCAAATAATCTTCTTTCTGGAAATGTTCGAATGAAAAAAAAACAAAAAAAAACCATCATGGATCAGTATTGCTCTAAATCACAACCACCTGCTTAATATCATGTTTGTGCTGCCAAAACAGCTCTGATGCATGGACTCCTCAAGACCTCTGAACTTGTCCTGTGGTATCTGGCACCAAGACATTAGCAGCAGATCCTTTAACTCCTGCAAGTTGTGAGGTGGGGCCTCAATGGCTTGGATGTGTTTGTCCAGCACATCCCACAGACGCTCCATAATCCAGTACAGGCGCTCACGCCTGCAGTTACACAGCAAACTGATGCATTGTGTGTTCTGAAACTTTTCCATTGTGGTCAGCATTACGTTTTTAAGCAATTTGAGCTACAGTAGCTCTTCTGTGTGATTGAACCAGGTGGGCTAGCCTTTACCCACCACGTGCATCAGTGAGCCTTGGGTGCCAATGACCCCAACACTGGTTCTATGGTTGTCCTTCATTGCACCACGTTTGGAAGGTACTAAATCACTCCATACGGTGAACATAGTTACATAGCTAAAAAGAGACTTGCGTCCATCAAGTTCAGCCTCACATATGTTTTTTTGCTGTTGATACAAAAGAAAGCAAAAAAATCCCAGTTTAAAGCACTTGCAACAAACTAGGAAAAAAAATTCCTTCTTGACCCCAGAATGGCAGTCAGATTAATCCTTGGATCAAACAGCTATTACCCGACATTGAAAAATTATATCCTTGAATATTCTGTTTTTTTGCAAGTATGCATCTAGTTGCCATTTGAACATATTTATGGACTCTGATAAAACCACTTCTTCAGGCAGAGAATTCCACATCCTTATTGTTCTTACAGTTAACCCCCCCACCCCAAACACACAAAAAACCACTTTTCTTTGCCTTAGACGAAATCTTCATTCTTCCAGTCTAAACGCATGACCTTGTGTCCTATGTAAAGTCCGGTTTGTATTGGCCCCAAATATATTTGTATAATGTTATCATATCCCTCTGAGGCGATGCTTTTCTAAACTAAAGAGGTTTACATTTGTTAACCTTTCTTCATAGCGGATATGTTCCATTCCGGTTATTAATTTTGTAGCCCACCTCTGCACTTTTTCTAGTGCCATAATATCCTCCTTTAGAACAGGTGCCCAAAATTGCACAGCATATTCAATATGTGGTCTTACCAGTGATTTATAAAGAGGCAAAATGATATTCTCATCCCGAGAGTGAATGCACTTTTTCATGCATGACAATAACTTACTGGCCTTAGCCACTACGGATTGACATTGCACATTGTTGCATAGTTTGTTGTCGATAACAATTTCCAAGTCCTTTTTGTGTGTTATCCCGAATTTGCTTCCATTAAGAGTATACATTGCTTGTGCATTCTTTACGCTGAAGTGCATAACTTCGCATCAACATTAAATTTCATCTGCCATTTGCGTTCCCAGTCCCCGAGTCTATCTAAATCCCTCTGCAGCAAGGTAATATCTTGCTCACATAGTATTAATTTACAGAGTTGTGTGTCATCGGCAAAAACTGAAACATGACTTTCAAATACTTTTTAAGATCATTTATAAATATGTTAAATAAAAGGGGTCCCAGAACAGAACCCTGAGGGACACCACTTGCCACCTCTGTCCAGCTTGAAAATTTACCATTAATGACAACTCTTTGTACTCTGTTTTTAAGCCAATGTTCTACCCAAGAACAAGCATTTTCATCTAGACCGATTTCTTTGAGTGTGAACACTTATTTGTTGTGTGGAACTGTATCAAATGCCTTGGCAAAATCCAAATAGATCACATCCACTGCAACACCCTGATCTATATTTCTACTTCTTCATAGAATGCAATCTAGTTAGTTTGACATGACCTGTGCTTCATAAAACCATGCTGATTTTTGCCGATAACCAAAACAAGACTTGTCATTTTGGAGACAAGCTGATCCAGTCGTCTAGCCATGACTTTGTCAAAATCACTCTGATCTTTTCACTTGCCCATTTTTCCTGCTTTCAACACATGAGATTCAAGAACTGGATTGTTCACTTATGCCCAATATATCCCACCCCATGACTGGTGCAAGTGGGTGTGTATATATGTGATAGATAGAGATTACATATAAACACACACACACTATATATTATATACACACATACATATATACACACACACACACGAGCGTGTAGTTATGGGAGTGGCTTGATTTACCTTCTTAAGGACGCCAGACCGCTCCCCATTATCATTCAGTCTGGCAATTTGCACACTGTGACTTCCGGTCTGTGCAAAGAGCCATTTTACTTACCTTCAACTCATGGGTACGCTTATCTGGTCCTGCACCCCTGGTACATTGTTTTGCGGTCTTCCAACTCTCCAGAACCTCGACAGGACTCCCATACCTGCTCTAAATCACTTCGTTGACTGAATCGTAAAAACTGTGAGTCAAGCCGCCTGTCGCACCTCAGTTGCGGGCGCTCTTCGTCATTCTGGTCAGCTCTATGCTTTAATCTCTTTTCGCATCTGTTTGTTTTTCTGTATTTCTTGAGACTATGCAAACAATTAGGCTATAGTACTGTCGTTCGGCTATTTCCAGCCTGTTCCTATCTTACTTTGGTTTAGCGGGCTTTTGGGAGCATGTGCACGAACACCAAATTGCTGTATTTCTTAAACTATTATTTTGTGCAGTTTGCGCTTATCTTACGAACAACCCTTGTGGTCGGTTAACTTTCATATATTTATAACCGAACGCCCTATTTGAGCAGTAGGATTCACATGATTTCATACGAATTGTTTTACTTCACTGTTTCAGTTAATTACTGTAGGTTTTAAATGTCAACCTCTAATGGTCAATTTTGATATTGCACGGGCTATATTTGAAGTTTGATATTTTTAAGGGATTAATTCAGGTCTAACAAGCGCTTGCTTGTTAATTTTTCATGCCTCATCAGTATATTCTGATGTTATGCATGTTTCTCTTTGTAGGGGACTCAATTGTGTTATTCAGGTTAATTGCCAGTTCTTATTGTTCAAACCATAGGGAGGTTATCTACCTCAGTTACATTACGGCCATTGATCTTTCGGGCACGACTCTAAAGTTTTGCTCCCCAGAAGCAATCAGGTGAGTTTATAAGTGTATAGATTATATTCATATCCTAGCGATCGGATGCGGTATTACATGTATTCTATTTGTTTCAGATCCACAGAGCACTCTGCATTGGAGCTCCATCACTGCTGCTATTCACAATTCACTGTGCGTTTGGTTAGTGGTTACACTTATTCCGGTCCACACATGGCCCTCATTAGTTTGTCTAGTCCTTAATTTTAATTTTCTACACAATCTTACAGAATGTTTATAAGTTCTTTGTTCATTTAATACTGAGTGTTAAATATCGGCCTATATTGGTCAGTTTTGAGATTTTGTTGAAGATAGTATTTAATTTAGGTAAAGCAAACGCATTGCTTGTTTATCGTTTTTCATGCTTTGTCAGTAGATGCTGACGATACACTGGTTTGCTTCAACAAACACTATTTGGTTTTCACTCAACTAAGCCTCTAAATGCTCCCCCGGTGCATTCCTATACTCCTGTGACTAAGGCTCAATTTCATAACCTATGTCCAACATCAACACTGTATAACCTGCACCTATGCTACTACTATACAATATTGGACTTATGACTAAGATTTCTTGTTTCTATAGTCAAGGGAGACCGGGTCTTTGACACTTAACTGGGGATTAGATGTTATAACTAGTTCTGTATAGAACGTTACCTTAAAGGAGCACTATAGGGTCAGGAACACAAACATATTTCTGACCCTATAGTGTTAAAACCACCATCTAGTCCCCCTGGCACCCTCTTGCCTCCGAAACATAGTAAATTCTTACTTGTATTCAAGCCTGAAGCTGCTGGTTTTGTTCCTGTTTGCCTCAGAACAGCAAGCTGCCTACTGCCATCATCAGAAGTGCTGTTCTGAGCCAATCACAATGCTTCCCCACAGGACTGGCTGAGACTGTGAAGGAGGCATATGAGGGGCAAAGCCAGCACAAGTCAAACACAGCCCTGTCCTAATCAGCATCTCCTCATAGAGATGAATATCTATGATGAAAGTTCAGTGTCTGCATGCAGAGGGAATAGATACTGAATGTTGTGAACTAGGCAAGACTGAGACAGGAAGCAGCTCTAGCAGCCATCTAAGGAGTGGTCAGTGAAGCCTGTGTCCTCCATCTGGCCTGCTCTGACAGTGTTTTTCTATGCCGGCGCTTACTCACGCCTAGACCCCTTACGGCTGCTGGCCTAGAATATGATACAGGAGTTTTTATACTGGGGTCCTCTATAACACTTGTGTCTGTATACATTACTCCCGTATAACTGGGTGAAGCGTGTCATTTCTACCCCCAGGGTCACACTAATGTCAGGATGGACGCTCCTACCCAAGAGAGCCTACAGGCTATGATTAATGCAGCCGTTGCCGCTTCAGTGGAGAAAGCGTTTTCACACGCACTGCCGCGGCCGTCCCAAGATAGGGATTATCGGAGACTCAGCGTGCACGAATAGAATCCGATCCCGACTCTCCGGGCAGAGAACAGGCACGCCCCCTCAAACGCTACTGGAAGGGTGAAGGCCCTGAGCAGAGTTCCCAGAAGGGTAAGGCTCCTGCAAAGAGGCCTAAGCGGGCGACTGCCTCACCTCCAACGCACTAACGATACCTGCCCGAAGAGGAGGAAGAGTTCACCCTGCCCGCACCCCTGTCCCTACTGGATGAATGGCGGGCAGATCAATCCCCCTCAGGAGGACGAAGGGGGTTGGGGCGAGGAAGATCCGGAGGAATCGGTGTACCGGCAGGACGCTGATGAAGATGCCTCGCTACAACTAGACTCCTCCCTTGGGGAGGACGTCTTCCTGGACTCATCAGGCGAACCTTTATTTGACCCGCGCACCATCCGGCACCCCAGGTCTCCTGAGTTGTCCCTACCCGAACACCTGGCCCAGTTCGTCCATTATTGGGTTCGCAGACTCCTCGACTGGGCAGTGCGGAAGAGGCTCAGGGCTGAGTGCCCTAGACCCACCTTGCCAGACAAGGTCGCTATGACTCCTGAGTTCGACACGATGGTCTCCACCTATTTGACCCGTACCGGGCGCGATCCCAAGAAGGAGATCGAACGCAATCTCCGCCTGGCACAAGATAAGGCGCTTGACATCTTGGGGCCGCTGACACGGATCCTTACCATGGCGGACGAGGCTGTTTCCCAGGGCTCCCCCCCTGGACGCTGCAGCCGTAAGAGATTGGGCATTACGCTCAGTTTGCCTGCTGGGCAACTCTAACGTAGCATTGTGCAGAGCGGAGGAAGGCGGTCCTCATGCGCATGGACGCCAAATTAATCAGAGTTGGGTTCCAAGGAACTGGTACAGTTAGCCAAAGGGCTACTTTTTGGAGAACCCTTCATCAAGGAGCTCCAGAGGCACGTCAACCTCTATGCCACCCAAAATAAAGCCCAATCTTCAATGAGGAGGGTGTTCCGCACTAACACCTCGTGTTTTTGGCAGGGCTGGAAGGCAGCGGGTTGTGCCTCCAGCTGTTTCTGGCCATCGAGCCACCGAGGATCCTGACCACCATCTTTCTTCCCCAGCTACCACTCTGGATCCTTCAACTCCCAAAGGTGGTACCGTGGCAGAGGGAACCGGACACGCGATAGAGGCAGAATGCCCACAGGTGAGACAAGTTGCACCTCATGTTTCCCCCAGTCTGTTACATGCCGGCAGGTTACTTTTTGTCTCGACAGGTGGCGGGACATCTCTTCGGATGCTTGGATACTCCAAACTGTCTGAGGTTACGTTATAGACTTCCATTCACTCTCAATCCCGGAGGTGGTCCCCTCGGCTCCAGTATCGTCAAGTGCACTGCAAGTCCCGATAGACGCCGAAATACAGGCCCTGTTCGACGAGGGGGCAGTTCAGTGGGCGCCGGACGACGGAGGCTTCTTCAGCTCGATTTTCCTAGTCAGGAAAAAGACGGGAGATTTCCGCCCGGTCATAAATCTGAGGAACCTAAACGCCTTTGTTTCCTATCAACACTTCAAGATGGAGGGCATCAATTTTCTAAGAGACTTACTACACCCAGGAGATTGGTTCATTCGTCTAGACCTGAAAGACACATACCTCTTCGTACCGGTGGAACCTGATTGCCGACGATTCTTATGTTTCATCTGGAAAGGGAGGCCATGCCAATTCACATGCCTACCCTTCGGCCTCAGCTCGGCACCTTGGTCTTTCACCAAACTACTGAAACTGATTACAGCATGCCTGCGCTCCAGGGGCATTCGGTGCCTGATAACCTGGACGATTTGCTTCTCTTCTGCGAGGGCTCCTCCAGACTGAAATCTCAGATGCTCTTCGAGGTCTCCTTGTTCGAATCCCTGGGGTTTGTGGTCAACCGAGAGAAGTCGGTCCTCACACCGACGCAGGTAGTTCAATTTTTGGGGTTTGAGATAGATGCGACTCAGTGCATCCTACGTCTCCCTGAAGCAAAAATCTTGGCAATTCGGAAAGAGATCTGAGGGATTTTCCGTCAGGAGAGGAGCCCACTCAGTGTCTTGGCACGGGTGGTAGGCCTATTGTCCGCTTCAATCCAAGCCATTTACCCAGGTCCCCTTCACTACAGGGCCATGCAACGCCTGAAGGCATGTTTCCTCCGCAGGAAGCCCTCATACGACCAACTGATCACCATCACACAGGAAGTCAAGACCAAACTTTGTTGGTGGCTGTTGCATGTGTCAGCCTGGAACGGCAAGGCGATTTTTGGTCCGACCCCGGACATTGTCCTGGAATCAGATGCAAGCCTATGGGGCTGGGAAGCGACCTGCGCCACTGCCTCCACGGGAGGTCCCTGGTAGAGCACGGAAACAGGGTACCATATCAACTGTCTGGAAATGATTGCGGGCTCATTCGCGATATGGAGCCTGGCGGGTCATCTGTCGGATTGCTGCATCGTGCTGAGAATGGATAACGTGTCAGCAGTGCAGTATATCAACCGCCTGCGAGGAGCACTTTCACGGGCACTGACGGTAGTGACGAAGGAGATTTACAATTTCTGCCTTCAGCGCAATATTACTTTACAGGCGGAATATCTCCCAGGTGTGTTGAACCTGACAGCAGACTGGTTTTCCAGGCACTGGAGGGATGCCAGCGATTGGCGTCTCCATCGACCAGTATTTCTCGAAGTGGCGCGACGGAGGGGCCCATTCACGGTGGATCTGTTCACTTCCAGATCTCGAATTACTTCAGCTGGCTCCCGGATCAGATGTGCGCAGCAGTGGATGCTTTTCTTCAGGTCTGGCCGGCACAGGGAGCCTATGCATTTCCACCGTTCACTATGATCTCCAGGATCCTTCTCCAAGTATGACGTCAACAGACATCGTTGGTGTTACTGACACCTCTTTGGCAAGGCCAGTCTTGGTTCCCAGAACTGCTAGAGCTGTCATATCGAGACCCGCTCCTTCACCCGTCTCCGCAATTTCTCCTGTCGGACTCTCGGGGCAACCATCACCCCCTCGTGCTGGAGGGCCATCTTCACTTGGACTCTTTCCGGGGTACCTGGAATGTCGATGAGCTATCGGGAACGGCTAGAAGCCTCCTCTGGGACTCATGGGCCCCGGGAACGAGGAGATGTTATCAGTCCGCATGGAACATATGGTGTCGTTGGTGCATGGAACGGAGTATCGATCCCTTTACAGCACCTGTATCCAGGGTACTGAATTTCCTTTCCTACCTCTTTGACCAAGGGAGGTCATATCGCTCGGTTAACGTTGCCACATTGGCCATTTCAGCGGCTCATGTTCCTCTTCGGGGACGCCCATTGGTTTGTAGACTGTTGCGAGGAATCAGACTGTCACGTCCACCAGCTTCTAAGTGTACATCACTCTGGGATGTGCACAGAGTTTTGGATTTCATTCAGGCGTGGCCGGAGAATCAGGACCTTTCTCTACGACAGTTATCGGCCAGGTTCACACTTCTTTTATGATTGGTATCGTTTCGTCGGGTCTCCGACGTCCGGGCTTTTGATATTAACGCATTCACCTTTTCTCCGGATGGGGTGACCTTTGCGGTGTCGAGACGTACCAAATCCGACTCCTCTGCCATTTTCTACCCCTTTTTTGGAGAGGCTCCTAAGCTCTGTGTGGTTTCTGCTCTGTCTCGTTATGTGGAAGTTACTACCCCACTTCGAAGTTCCCTATCAAGACAACTGTTGATATCTTACGTACGACCGCATAAACCGGTGTCTACCAATTCCCTGGCTTGTTGGATCAGATAGCCTTTGTCGTTGGACGGCGTGGACTCCTCTTTTGGCGCTCATTCGGTAAGGGGCGCGGCAGCGTCAGGAGCCCTGGTAGCAGGTGCTTCCCTGGCCGATATTTTACGTTCAGCAGACTGGTCTCGAGAAGACACATTTCAACAGTTTTATTTCAGGCCTACAGAACATGCAGCCTTTGCCCTACTGGCTGAGCGTTGAAACTGCAAATATGAAGCCTCCTGTCATGTTATAAAATTGTAGATTATGCTAGCTTTAGTGTACCTATAATCTTAATTTTATTAATGACAGGAGGCGAATATTTCCCACCCTTTGTTTTTCCCGACCCTTGTGTGTTGTATTATCTGGCAGGTTTTATATTTATAAAGAATTATGTTTCTGGTCAGTGTTCGTTATGGTTATTTCCTTCGATAGGTTTCCTTTTCTGCCTGGGCCAGGATCTGTTCACTTGGTGGTGTTCACTATAATTTGCTCTGGGTGGCTGCATGCTTTTATATATACTTTTCATTGTCTAATCACAATTTTCGATTCTGTTTATCTCGTTTCAGTGTAAAGGGCCCAGGATAGGCTCACATCCAAGTTTCGACTCGGTTGAAGATTCCTAGGAGAGTCGTTTCTATCAAGAGTTGTTTCCTTTTCTGCCTTCTTTTTTTTCATATCTTTATCTAGGGTGGGCCCTCTTTATTACAGGCCCACCGCATCTGACTTTTTCATGTTACTATAGGTCTCATATAGGGACCTTACATACCTACTTCTAAAATGCTCATTACGGCTTTTGATGCCACGACCATTGAGAATATTGTGTGTGTGTATAATAAATATATAATAGTGAGCATTACCTTCAGACCTCTTGCCATGTTTAGTGCAACTTTAAGAATAATTTCAGCAGAAAAAGGGCCTAGGTGTTTCTCATTCCTTTCCTCTATAAGGTCATTTAGCGACTTTTTCCCACCGTATTCCATCGCTAAACAGAGGCTGCCATCCTTTGATTTAGTAAATGCACGATAACCTAAGGAAAATAGATAAACAAGATCAAATCTCTCTCATGGCGAGGAATAACCAATGCTTAACTTGAAGGGAAACAATCTGAACTTCACCAATAGGAGAATAAAAGATTTGTTAGCAATCTAAAACCTGATCAGGAAAAGTCCACATTGGATTTAAAAAATATATTCAGAATCAATTTGTCTGTATTTTCTGAAGCAGATAGAAATCCAGTAGAAAGCCAACCTAGTTAACTATTCAATAGAGCATTTGTGTTAATATTGATAACTATGTGTGTTTCTCAGGAACTAAAAAGAAAAATAATTAGGGGTATGCTTGGTACTTTCTCTCTGTGCAGCCCTCCCCTCAATGAATCAGGGTGGTGGTACTAGGTCCACAAAAGGGCTTGGACCCTAAAATGCAATACGTACAAACAGAAGGAGAGTATACCCCGAAGTAAGGGGGAGAAACTCTATACTGGTATATTAAAGTAAAAAGAAAAGAAAAAAAAAAAAGTCATATTGTCAGCTAAATAAACTTAGAGATAAGTCTGGTGCGGTAAATAAATAAACCTACAAACCACAGCTAGATTATACAAAATGTATCCAATATATAAGTACTTTATTAGTTAAATTAAGAACAATGTGATACAAATTGAGGTAAAGCGGGGGAGTCAGAGTAGTTGTGGTATACAGGTAGTTCCCAAGCCTAGTTCATAAAGTGAGAACTAATTTCCCATAGACACAATGTAATAAACACGGGTTCCGTTCCTGACCGACACACTTTACCATTGAAAACCTAAATTATTAATTACAAATACAAAATGAAAGCATAGTAGGAATTTTAAAGGCATGCAGGAATTTTAAAAGGCATGCATACCATATTGAAATCTTCATCAAATCATCAATCCTCCTACTATTCAAAGAGGAGACATGCTGCACTTGTTGAATGGGGGCACCTCTCTTGCCCTCCTACTTATTCATTTTCTTCATTATCAGCTTCCCCCTCTCCTTTATCACTTTTCTGTTACTCCTCTTATTTTTACAGCTCTCAAACTTTCTTCCTTCTCCCCTTTTCCAGCCCTCCTCTTGCTCCTTACTACTGCTGCCTGCCAAAACATGGCATAATAATAATAATAATAATAAATCAGTAATTTATGCCCATGAAAGCACAAACAGAATACAGTACAATCTAAACCTGTTTTTTTAGTCTTCCCTTTATCTTCAGGAACTGTGTTCCTGATTCTCATATTTCTTCTTGTCTACTCCTGACCACAAATTCTTCTTCTACTCTTCTTGTTTGTGCTCCAAAGCACTCTCCTCGGTCCTAATCAGTGGACCATTGGCAAAAAAATAAAATAAAATAATAAAATAAATAAATAAATAAATAAATAATAAAAAAAAAAAGTGGACCACTGACATCCAGAAAAATGTTCATAAAGGCGGGAGTTCATAAAGTGAGAAATGCCTGTAGATAGCAAAAACCAATCCCAACCTTGTATATTGGTCTCAAAAGGCAGCTTAATGAAATGGGAGAAAATCCCCTATAGTTCCTGCTGAGATCAAATAACAGGATGAATTACTAGGAGGAAGTTCACTAAACAGTGAGCTAAGCAGCTATATCTTAAAACAACTATAGATGCAAAAAACAGGAGGGTCAGGTAGTTGGGTATACCTTTATACCTAGGTGTACCTTTAGGAGGAAATTATTAGTTGAATATAAAAAAACCTATGACCATTTGCGAACTCACATTCACACTAAATTGTCAAATGGATCAGTGAAGATATATCAACTACAAACATTACAGCCCAAAATCTAGAGTGAATTCTTCATTAGATCTAGCTCCTCCCCACATTGGAGCACACCAAGTGCCGACCGGAAGGAGGAGATCTAACGATCCCCACAGATCAAGCTCTTAGGAACTGTAAAAGGCAAATTAAATATATAGTTACAAAGCATAGATTGTCACTCCAACACCGTTCTTTGTGGCTCTGCCCAAACCCCTAGCTCAATGAAGATAGCAAATGCACTTCGGGAGGATTTTTTCATAATAGGCGGTCTAGTGGATGACGCTTTGACATGCCCACAGATGACGGAACATTTTGGGAATGAGAGTCTACTAGAGCTGTGACGTGGATGGGTGGAGTACTGGGTCTGTCTGTCAGAGCACGCCACTCCCCCATACCGTCTACACACCTGATAATAGTGTGAATTACAGACATGTCACGTGGAGTCTCACGTAATGATAGCCGATTGGTCCTTAATGCATTTAAAAACTGTCCACACGGAAAGAAGGTTAGCCGCTGACGAAGGTGCAGTCTTATACACTGAAATGCGCGTTGGGTTTACTTGGCACTCGAATCACCAATGAACTAACTGGGTGTTTAGCCCACTTTTTTTTTTTTTTTTAAACCTAGAACACCCATGAAGGTGTTTTTTTAGGAGATTTAGGGATTAGCAGTAAAGTATTTCAGTATCTATGAGATGGATTCTCTCTGCATGAGTGTTTGCTCCTTTTTGCTTCCCCATTATAGTAACCAAAGAGATTTTCATTGTCCATTGGTAGAGAATAGACACCCTTTCAGTACGTAGGGGCAATCACTGCACTAATTTAACCTGAACTGCTACCCAATATGACCAAATTTATTATTTCTATTTAGTATATAGTAACTATAGGTGATTTTCTCCCATTTCATTAAGCTGCCTTTTGAGACCAATATACAAGGTTGGGATTGGTTTTTGCTATATATACCACAACTACTCTGACTCCCCAGCTTTACCTCAATTTGTATCACATTGTTCTTAATTTAATTAATAAAGTATTTATAGATCGGATACATTTTGTATAATCTAGCTGTGGTTTGTAGGTTTATTTACCACACCAGACTTATCCCTAAGTAAATTATTTAGCCAACAATATATTTCTTTCCTTTAATATACCAGTATAGAGTTTCTCCCCCTTGCTTCGGGGTATACTCTTCTTCTGTTTACGACGTTATAAAACAAAATGTTAATATAAAAATAGTTTGGAGTAACCCTTTAACGTACCTACAATATTGGGGTGTTTCAGAGTCTTCAAAACTTTTGCTTCTTCATTTAGTCTCTGTTCATACAGATTCTTGCTTGACTTGTCACACTGTTTACTAATCTTCTTTACAGCCCAGGGGGAACGAGACAGACCCTTTGGAGACCTTGATATTAAAGCACAATGAAGTTTCTGTATATCGGTTATATTATAAAACGACTCCAAACAACCAAAAAGTGCAAATATAGCTACCTATTCAAATAGTTCATTACTTACTAAAAACTTTGCTTCCACATTTTAAGAGGATATAACACCCAATAAGCAAATGAAACAGCCACTTCAATAATATATGAACAAAGAAGGATTCAGTTAAACTGTCCATTAGCACACAGACTGAAATCTACTAAAGTGAATTTCCAATTGAAGGCCAGAGTAGTTGCTGAGCTGAAACAATAGTTGACTTTTTCCAGTTTAGCTATTTTGTCCCTTAATGTGAAATTCCCTTTGAATTCTGAATTTGGTAATTAATCCTAAGCGTTTTAACGATTTACTGACATACTTTTTAAAAAGTTTATAAAACAATATAGGATATCAATTTATCAGAACAAAAAAAATGTCAAACTGCTCCTTTGAGTCAATTAATTTGTACACAGTCGGAAAAGCTATTCGCTATCATTACTGCAGAAAGTGGAACTGCAACTTTAGTAATAGCACAGAAAAGGGAAATTACAGGTAAGTATCAAACCATTTAAAAAATAAGTGGGACAGCATTAGGGGAGTCTTAGCACCATAACCACCACAACTGTCTAACTGTTTACTTTACTAACCCAAGATTTTATTCTTACCTTTTCATGAGGTACACGCTGACTCCAGTGCCATACCCAAACTTCTGCATAAATGGAGAAGCGGGAATTGTAACAGATGGTGAAGGTACACTTACTCCTGCAAAAACAGAGTTTTAAGTGGCTATACATCTTAACGGAACAGCAACATTCAAACATGTATTCCTGACCCAATAGTGTTAAAATCACTATCTGGCACCCCTGGCTCCCCCTTGCCCTCCTAAATATAGTGAAATCTCACCATATTTCCAGTCTGACGGCACTGGCTCCACCCTGATTCGACTCCTTGGCAGACATCACCAGAAGTCTGGATCTCAGCCAATCACAATGCTTTCCCATATGGGAGCCAAAGGCCGCACTGACCTGGAAAGCACTTCTAGTAGCAATCTGAGGAGTGGCCACTGGAGGTGTCCCTAGGGAGCAATGCAAACACTTTTTTTTCTCTGAAAAGACAGTGCTTACAACAAAAAGCTTGCATGGACATAGTATAGCTACCAGAACAAATCCATTAAGTTGTAGTTGTTCTGGTGACTATAGTGTCTTTTTAATGCTGCAGTGTTGTCGTCGTCCCCTTTGTAAATGAAAAGCAAAAAACGACTAAACGTACACCAAGACAGTTTAAAAAAAAAAAACTGAATGTCTTAAGGAGGAACACATTCTATATGTGTTTTTGGTCAAATGTAAACATTGTCATTTCTTAGAAAAGATGTTTCACATTGTTTGGGGGTAAAAAAAAACAAAACAGCATTTATGTACCAAAAACGCTACATTAAAATGTAGTGGTTTTGGTGTTTGAAGTGTCTTTTTTTTTTTTTTAGGAGCCGTAGAGATGATACAACAATAGACTGTAGATGGTCTTACAGTGCTTTTCAATTCTAAATCTTGCCATATTTAGAGCCCGAACACAGCTATCCTTAAAACTATTACTAGCAGAACGGCTTTTAAAATCAGCTGCCTATCACTGGTTTACAGAAGATTAGGTGGTGCTGGGTGCTCTTTTATGGCGAGGTTCTGTTCGCCACAATGACATCATATCGTCGCCCGGTAGCAATATGTGCAGCTAGCCACCTGCCTCCACGCCCCCCAGCATGCCGCCCGGCTCCATAACCCCCCAACTTGCCACCCACCTCCATAATTCACCAGCCGGCCTCATGCCTGCCAGGCTCACAAATCCCATGCGCCAAGGCAAAATTCCTAGGAGCCATGTATTCGTCAAGCCCTACTTTAGTGTATCCCCCAAAACATACATCACCACTGCAAACAAGCCAGGTGTATAAACAATTACATTAAAAAACATAAAATTTAGTGTGTACAGTGTTTCCTAACCAATTCTGACACCCAATGAATATTAATGAAAAGCTTATACAATATATTCATTGGTTTTGAAAATAGCACTCTACACCTTCATTTTATGGTTGTTTTAATTCTAATAACTATCAAGGTTTGTGGACATTTTCTAACTTACCTGGAGACTTCCTTCTGTTCACTTTACACGGAGTCTTAAACCCACTTCCTACTACCTCCATGTTTGCACTTTGTGGCTCCTGGAAAATAGATAATGAATTATAGCAACAGATCTTGAATTTGAGAAATGTGTATTTACACTACATTCATCTATTGCTACAATTTTCATTCATTTAAAGGGACACTATAGTCACCTGAACAACTTTAGCTTAATGAAGCAGTTTTGGTGTATAGAACATGCCCCTGCAGCCTCACTGCTCAATCCTCTGCCATTTAGGAGTTAAATCCCTTTGTTTATGAACCCTAGTCACACCTCCCTGCATGTGAATTGCACAGCCTTCCATAAACACTTCCTGTAAAGAGAGCATTATTTAGGCTTTCTTTATTGCAAGTTCTGTCTAATTTAGATTTTCTTATCCACTGCTATGTTAATAGCTTGCTAGACCCTGCAAGAGCCTTCTGTATGTGATTAAAGTTCAATTTAGAGATTGAGATACAATTATTTAAGGTAAATTACATCTGTTTGAAAGTGAAACCAG